GGGATGTTCTAGCTCCAGGCTAGTTATCAGTTCTGCTAGGAGCCGTAGTGCGCTAGCGTTAACCTGCGGTGTTATGTACACTCCCATTAGCATGAAACTGTTGAATTGACAGGGAGAGTAAAAAGGTTTGCAATTGATAACAAGAGTCTCTAGGTCTGCGTTACATGTCCTCTGTAGCACTGTGATATCTGTGCACCAACCTTCATTTATGTAGAAGCAGATTCCACCTCCTCTCGTTTTTCCTGGACAGCTCCTTTACACAATCCGCTCTGAACACCTAGAAGCCTGGTACTTGAATCACACTGTCCGCGATGAAGTGCTGAGCCAGGTTTCCGTGAAGCACAAAGCAGCAGAGCGTGCAAAGTCAAATTTAGTTCTGTTGATGAGAAGAATTTCATGCAACTTGTTGACCAGGGAGCAGAGATTAGCCAGGTGAATAGATGGGAGTGGGGTCCATGTTACCCTCTATTATAACCAGACCAAGACGCCTGCTCAGGTATATTGTTGCTGCTGCGCCTCCAATCAGAATGTTCATACAGCATTCTTCGTTCAAAAAAATCGGAGGAAGGTAGTTCAGTGTGAGTTGTCTGATATTTAACAGTTCTTCTCTGGTAAAAGTAATCCGGAATGAGTTGCAAAAGACCAAGAAAACAAAGAAAAACAACAAACACAAGAGAGCGCGAGTAACCATGGCTGCCATTGCTGTTGGTGCCGGAAGTTCATTAAAGCCATGATCTTCACAACTGATATTTGCAGTGTTGCCAACTCCTCAGTAAGGAAAGTATATTGGCTGTCCTAATATGTCGCTAGAAGTCGCTAAATGATGTCATCGCCTAATTTGCATGTGATTGTAATGGACGTTGTAGGAGAGAGGAATAATGTCATGGGAGAGACAAATGGTGAGTAAAAAAACCCTAAATATGTTTAGAACTACAAATGAACTTTATTCTGTTGATTCTTGGTTTGTTTGTTTTTTATTATGCCATTGAAATAGGTCATCATTTCTCAAAATAACTTCATGACTTATGCTTTGTCTAGATCCCCATTACATAAATCAATTTTGTCCTGTATTGTTAAATGTTAGAATATCAAATTTAATCAAAAGATTTATGTGGGGTGTGCTAGCTTTATGTCCATCCCTCCTCCTTTATCCAGGGCTCAGCGGCGGCTTTGCACATGCGCGATTCATTTGCAGTCAGCACGTGGAGCGGTGTCGGTCTTCTCCCTGCTCTGACTGCAGCTGGGACCGCGTGTGGGAGCTTTGGGATGGGGGAGCTAGCGATGGCCGATGAGGCTTTATTGAAGCTTCGACACAGTGTTCACACAAATGGTTCATTACTAGAGGCTTCAATGACACAGTGCTCGAGTAGGACATCTAGTAGTCAAGAAATTGAAGTGCAGTCAAGTCACGTCGCTTATTGGTTCATGGATTAGGATTTGATTCGCCATGCACATTCCTGTTCGACTACATTACATGGTTTTATGGTTTAAAGCTGACAATAAAATATAAGATAAACATGGACACATGTTGAAGACCACGTTTCTTATGTGGCACGTCTGAGTGTAACCCTATATGCTCCTCACTTATATTTTGTTATGAAAACATTTAAATGGTGCTACTACATTCATGAGATGTGCTCTACAAATTCAGACAGATGTCATTTTCACATGGGACTGGTGCAAATACAGATTATACAGTGGACTTC